CCGAACCAAAAGTCGGATTGAAATTTGGTTTGCAGATTCGGATTCCTGGGAAAATTCTACCCTTAATCCATAGCTCATATGTTAAATTTGGAGAACTTTTTATTTTGACCTACTTATCGGACACCATATCTCAAAAGTGGGTCAAAATACTTTCTGACGGCAAAAGGCTAACACTATTAGCACACTCTTTGCTACCTGTATACAAAATTTTGAAGTAAATTATTAAAGTGTAGTGTCAGAATCGTAAAAATAAGGAAAAACTATGAATTTGACCTAGATTTTGACCTAGGCATTTTGGTGTCCAAATTTTGAAGCTATGTAGCTTTTGAGGTCCCCTTCTTTTATAAGTATTCATTATGTTAAGCTGTACTCAGTCTATATCTTGTATTTTACACTTCGAAAAAGTCTTTTTTCCCATTGACTTAACATAGGCACCAAATTTAGCGATTTTTGAGCTTTCAAAACGCCATAACTTCCGAACCGGAAGTCCGATCCAAATTTGGTTTGCAGATTCGGATTCCTGAGATCATTCTACACTTATTTCATAACTCACATGTTGAATTTGGAGAACTTTTTGTTCTGACCTACTTTCCAGACGCCATATCTCAAAATCGGTAAGGGTAATCAAAAATCTGATGGCACACCTATGAAAGGGCTTTTTCTAAGCTACATGATGAAAGTAAGATGAAGGAGTTAGATGAAAGATGTAGGAAGTTAAATGTCAGAATGTTGAAAATGTAGGACGTGACCTAGTTCTTGACCTTTGACCTAGATAAAAATTTGACCTAATTTCCGAGAAACTAGGTTACTGAGCTATGTTAGCCATGTAGGCAGATTAAAGTAAGCTCTTCTAGTTAGCGAGAAAACGTGGGTAGAGGAAGAATAATAACTAGACTTGGGAAATTGAACGAAGTTCAATTTCAGACTCCAGATCCAGACTTTTTTAAGCCCAGTCATCTAAAATAAGCCGAGTCATCCAGAATAAGCTGAGTCATCCAGAATAAGATGGATGGATAAAACAGGAAGGTAGGATAGGATAGAATGGGAAGGAACGATAGGATAAAATAAGAAAGAAGGATAGGATAGAACAGAATAGGAAGAAAGGATATGATAGGAGAGGATAGGAAGGATAGGAAGGAAAGGATAGCAAGGAAGGATAGGATAGGATAGGATCAGATAGGAAGGATGGATGAATTTTTCAATATTTTCTTCTCTACTCTTGACTTTCTATCAGGATACCATCAGATCCATTTTCCGAAATTTCAAAACACCATAACTTCCGAACCGGAAGTCGGATCTAAATTTGATTTAAAGATTCGGATTCCTGACAAAATTCTACCCCTAATTCATAACTCATACGTTAAATTTGGCGAATTTTTATTTTGACCTACTTTTTGGACACGCCATAACTTCGGAACCGGAAGTCGGATCGAAATTTGATTTGCAGATTCGGATTTCTGAGAAAATTCTATTCTTAATTCATAACTCAAACGTTAAATTTGGAGAAATTTTTATTTTGACCTACTTTTCGGACACCATATCTCAAAAGTGGGTCAAAATTCTTTCTGACGGCAAAAGGCTAACGCTATTAGCACACTCTTGGCTACATGTATACACAATTTCGAAGAATATAATTAAAGTGTAGTGTCAGAATCGCAAAAATAAGAAAAAACTTTGAATTTGACCTAGATTTTGACCTAGGCATTTTGGTGTCCAAATTTTAAAGCTAGATGGCTTTTGAGGTCCCATTCTTTTAAAAGCTTTCATTATATTTAGCTGAACTTAGTCAATATTTCGTATTTTTCACTTCAAAAAAATCTTTTTTCCCATTGACTTAACATGGGCTCAAAATTTAGCGATTTTTGAGCTTTCAAAACGCCATAACTTCAGAACCGGAAGTCTGATCTAAATTTCGTTTTCAGATTCGGAATCCTGAGAAAATTTCCTATAAGACTGATATCCTGGACATTTGATTCGGAGAACTTTTTTTTGGACCTCGTTTTCGGACACTGATATCTCGAAATCGGTTTGAGATATCAAAAAACTAAATCGACCCTAGGTTTCCTACTTTTTTATAAGGAACACAATGAAAAAAACCCGGATCGAAAATATTGAAGGACAACCGAGAAAATCGAAAAAAGTGACAAAGTACTGGATTTGACCTAGTTCTTGACCTTTGACCTAGATAAAAATTTGACCCAATTTCCCACCAACTAGATACTGAACCTTAATGAACTGTATTATGGTCCTTACTGGATACCTAATAGTTATTGAAAAAACTCCCAAAGAATAATAATAATAATAACTAGATTGGTAAATTGAACAAAGTTCAATTTAAGACTCCAGATTGATTTTCTTGAGTAAAGAGCTGAGTAAGTAACTGAGTAGAAAGCTGAGTACGTAGATGATTAAGTAATTGAGTAAGTAGCTGAGTAGGTAGCTGAGAATAAGGTAGCTAAGTAGGTAGCCGAGGAGGTATGTAGGTAGGAATTTTTGAAGTTATATTTGATGGATCTGCATTGTGGATATTGGCAAATTTGAATTTTAAAATGGCGTAGAATCTAAACCGGGAGTCGGATTGAAAGTTGCTTTGCAGATTTGGATTCCTGAGAAAATTCTACCCTTAATTCATAACTCATAAGTTAAATTTGGAGAACTTTTTATATTGACCTATATTTCGGACACCATATCTTAAAAGTGGGTCAAAATACTTTCTGACGGCAAAAGGCTTACACTATAAGCACACTCTTTGCTACATGTATACAAAATTTTGAAGCAAATTATTAAAGTGTAATGTCAGAATCGCAAAAATAAGGAAAAACTATGAATTTGACCTAGATTTTGACCTTGGCATTTTGTTGTCCACATTTTAGAGCTAGGTCGCCTTTGAGGTCCCCTTCTTTTATAGGCTTTCATTATGTTGAGCTGTACTCAGTCTATTTCTGGTATTTTACACTTCAAAAAAAACTTTTTCCCTATTGACATAACATGGGGCACCAAATTTAGCAATTTTTGAGCTTTCAAAATGCCATAACTTCCGACTGGGAAGTCGGATCGAAATTTTGTTTGCAGATTCGGATTCCTGAGAAAATTCTACCCTTATGTCATGGCTCATATGTTAAATTTGGAGAATTTTTTATTTTGACCTACATTTCGGACACCATATCTCAAAAATGGGTCAAAATACCTTTCTGACGGCAAAAGGCTATCACTATAAGCACACTCTTTGCTACCTGTATACAAAATTTTGAAGCAAATTATTTAAGTGTAGTGTCAGAATCGTAAAAATAAGAAAATACTATAAATTTGACCTAGATTTTGACCTAGGCATTTTGCTGTCCAAATTTTAAAGCTAGATAGCCTTCGAGGTCCCCTTCTTTTATAGGCTTTCATTATGTTAAGCTGTACTCAGTCTATATCTCGTATTTTACACTTCGAAGAAGTCTTTTTCCCCATTGACTTAACATGGGGCACCAAATTTAGCGATTTTGAGATTTCAAAATAATATAACATCTGAACCGGTAGTCGGATCGAAATTTTGTTTGCAGATTCGGATTCCTGAGATAATTCTACACTTATTTGATAATTCACACGTTGAATTTGGAGAACTTTTTATGTTTTGACCTACTTTTCGGACGTCATTTCTCAAAATCGGTAAGAGTAATCAAAAAACGATTTGCCTTACGGAATTAGCTTTTTTTCTAAGGAACATGATGAAAAAAAACCAGAGCAAAAATACCGAAGGACGACTGAGAAAACTTGTAAAATAGTGAAAACCCACGATTTGACCTAGTTCTTGACCTTTGACCTAGATAAACATTTGACCTAATTTCCCAGAAACTAGGTTTCATTACCTAGTTGACTATGTTAGCAGATTTAAGTAAGTTCTTCTAGTTGCTGAGAAAAAGTGTTCGGAAAGAAAGAAAGAAAGAAAGAAAGAAGGAAAGAAAGAATAATAGGAAAACTGGCAAAAGCAATAGACTCCAGATTTTCATCTGGAGTCTAATAAAAAGAATACTGGCAAAAACAATAGACTCCAGATTTTCAATCTGGAGTCTAATAATAAGAATAAGAAAACAGGCAAAAGCAATAGACTCCAGATTTTCAATCTGGAGTCTAATAAGTAATATTTGATATCAAAAGTTTACCTCCGAGGGATGTGTACTTTAGAAGTTGATAATATAATATTAACAAAATGTGGATTTATATGCCAGGATTAAGATCAGATCATTGAACCATTATTGAATTTTGCCTCCAGGGCATCTGTAGATAAGGATTGTTTTATTTTAAAAGTTTACCTCTGAGGAATAATCCATTTTAGAAGTTGGAAAATATAATATTAATAATATGGCTTTAAATGCCAGGATTAAGATCAGATCATTGGACTATTATTGATTTTTGCCTCCGGGGCATCTGCACAATATTTAATATAAAAAGTTAACCTCTGAGGGATTTAGAAGTTGATAATAGAATATTAATGATATATGGCTTTGTATGCCAGGATTATGATCCGGCTGTGTTCTTTTAAGATTTAAGTACGGAGGACCAGTTTTAATTGTAATTTTTTTATCTCTTTTTTTACTGTTGCACCTTGAATAGCGACAAGTCGTTTAGGCCCTTCATGTCACCTTTGCGACCGCGTGCAAGTCAAATAGTACCAATCTATAATGCCCATAGTTCAGTTCTTTATTAAACCACAATGCATTCTGACGACGTCACTCTTTTACCAAAAGTGGTACTGCTCAATTCATCATGAAACCAAAGTACACTGTAACATAATGTTTCTGCTCAGTTGACCATACTGGTATACTTTGAATTAATGCATTGACGTATTCGAAGCTGATTGGCTGAGATGCACTTGGCATATTTGAATACAGTTATTTCTAGCATATTTAGTTCAAAATAATGAGTGATTTGATAAATATGTTTTGTTCGAAAGGGTTTGCTACTCGTGAGGGTATTGTTTTTCTAGCTAAGACAAAGATCTTGTTCTTTTCCAGCTGACATAAAAATCCCGATTTGTGGTCTTGATTTCGTATTTGCCGTCGACATTTCATGTAGCATTAATCCAGACGACAAGGAAAAAGTGCGTAGATTTCTGGAGTCTGTTGTAAGACGTATTCCAGTGCGTCCACCGTTCTCACAGGTCGGCATTATTTTGTTCTCGAAGACTGTCTACGATATTGCTCAGCTCAACTCCTTCGTTCGTCGTGGACAAGTAAGTATATATTCAAAAATATACTGTATATTAAGATGTTTGATTCAAGTAAAACCGTTTATCCCACGAATATCGTTTTATAGCTGTGGAGTTTTAAAAAACGATAAATGTTACAAACTTTAATGTAAAGATATTTATGTTTTTATTGTAATATGTAATTTGTAATTATTACATGAGGGGTCCATAACACTCAATGCATACTTAATAATCTTCTAATCTTCATAATATACTAAGTATAGGATAAATTAGTTAATAGGGAGTTTAAGATTAGCGTAAATAACCCATTTACCTATACCTATACGTTGTTTGTTATTACACAAAGCGGTATTTTACCTAAGTTACAGGGTTTACGATACGTAATTACCTATAAATGGCCGAAGATAGGTAATTCGAAAACGTATGTTTTTATCCAACAAATTATGTCATGTCTAAATCAAATATCATCCATTAAACTTTAAAATAGTAACAACAAACATTTCTCATTCAATCTGCATAGAAATTAAGTGGTCGAACACATTCATTGATGCGATAAACGATGCCATGTGATGATGCATGAAATTGTTGAGTTTACACATTCTTCATCAGTTTTGCTTATTGTAAATGTATGAAATCAGCCATTTTCTCGTTTATTTTTTATTTATTTATTTTATCCACCATATTTGATGTGTTTAAATAAATTTTTACATTATTTACTTATAATTATAACATATGTATATGATATACAATTTAATTTTAGTTACAGACCAGATTCTGGTCTATTTATGTACATTTTATGGATGTAAACAGCAATTTGCTTATATTCCTCGACATCAAATATCTCCCCTGCACCAAAAATTGCTCCAAGAATCATCTCTTTTGGATAATTTTGTGCTGGTTTGAAGATATTATATACAATTTCCAAAATATTTGATCTTAAAGCATCATGACCTTCACAGTCCAGTATCATGTGTGATAGTGTTTCTGGTTCTTTATAGCACATTTTACATAATACAGAAATTTTTCCGTTAGACCACCTATTGACATTAATCATTATGTTTCCTTCTCCCAACAGTAGTTTAACCACCGTCCTGCAACACTTCAAAATTCTAGGATCTAATTTAGCTACCTTCCACCATATTATAGGCTGGATGTCATGGGTTACAATTCTGAACAATGGCAATTTTCTTGACAATATACATTCAATTTGCCAGTTACGTAATTCAAATAAATGTACCTTACTCTTCACAATATTTTTCCACTGTAATTTTGAATAGACGCGTCCATTAAACATTTCATAGACCATTTAAGGATGAATACTAGCTAGTATCATAAAGTTTGTTTAGCGAGCCTGGATATAACCAATGTTCTGTGAGGCAGAGAATATCAGTTTTATCGAGCAAAGAGTTTAAATAAGGGCTGCTGGCATTAAAACCATTCGCATTCCATGCAGTTATTGTAAGATTATCTGCTGCTTTCATATTTTGGTAGTTACTATGTTTATTGAAAGTACTGGGTGTTAGGAATAGGGACGATGTAAGCACAATTAATGATAATGTTGTCAGAACCATCATTCCTCATAACATTCTTCAACGCAGGAATCACGCCAATCAATGTAAGAAGTATACTCCTTTGAAGCATGGTAAATGTTGTCATAATCAATATCATCAAGCCTGGGAGCATTATTACGACGGCCTTTTGGCACCCATTCTCTGCATTGCACTGGAGAAGGCCAAGCAGAGGGGGACATTGCACGTTCAACATTGGATTTTGGCACAATAATTTTGCATCCAACTCTATACTGGGACACTTTATTATGCACAACATAGCTTTGCATAATACGTATATTTTGATTTTTAGCATATGCTGACACCTGGTGTTTGATATCTTCATTAGTCTCACCCTCACATATCTCAATGTTCTCCAAGTATAAGGTAATACCAGATTCAGATTTGACACCTCTGAGAAACCGTGTTGAAGAATTAGTTCCGCTAAGGCCACGAATCGTTGGCTTACTGGCAGTTGACCTTAGATCGAGACGAGGGGGTGGGTTTTTTGGCCTTTTACGTCGTACAACATCTGACCAAGTTTCTTCATCTGCTACAGGATCAGACACAATGACTTCAATGGGATTCTGCGTTGGGTTTCGTGCGCGCTGCGTAGCATTAGGCTTTTTTGAAGTTTCCTTTCCTGGTGCACGGGGTTCAGGAGCTGATGCATGGCGACCGCGACCCCTTCCCCTACTAACGCGAGGGGAGATCACAATACCTGAGGGGATATCCTTATGGCAGATATCATTAGGAGGGACAGCAAGGGAGGGATTAGCCTTGGTAGGAACATCCCTAGCTGGTGGATCCTTTGAACTTGATTTTTCAATAAGCTTTGCAGGGGCAGGTGGTATTGGGACGTGGTTTTAATTGTTTAACTTTACTATTTGGTCACTCTCATTGCTGGATCATGCTAGAAATTTAATATTCGCCTTAAAGTGTGCGCCCGACCTGGCTACGTATATAACAGAGTTTATACTGGCGTATTAGACTAGTTCATTTTTTATATGTGTGTGAAAGCTTTCTCTTATTTGCGTTTTTTTCGTTTAGTACGGTTTTGTTATAATAACCGAGGTCATATAACCGGGATAAAACAATGATTATCGTTGACTGCGCACACACAAAACATTTACGTCGAGTGAACACAACAGTGTTATTAAAAACAACAAGCTTTAGAATACAAAGCCCAGTAGCGTGATAATAAGCTGTACACTACCACTGCTGCATGTACATATTAGGGCTCATAAAGAGTGGATAGGGAGGTTGTGTTTGTCACTTTTAAATTTTACATTTCAAAATTGCCATTTTACATGTCATAATTTCTTGGTTTCATTCGATTAGCCGATCAAAACATTGTAAAACAATAAATCGTCTGTTACGTATAATCAATTTTGTTCAGTTTTGATTAGTTGTCAGAATGAAGTTAGTTACGTTCATCTGAATCCATGTTTCAAAACAAAAATCATATTTTCTTCACTTCAAAATACTTCAGTGAGATGAATGCTCGGAATTGTCGTTTGCAATAACTTATTGTATTCGTTCTTTTATCTACTCGATAGAAGCATTTAGTCGTACATTTGATGCCAGGTCACCTTCTCGCGTACCTCTTTGGGAGCCCCACATTTGTCTGTACTCATGGAAGTAAATTCCCTGGTGTAGCCGAGAGCCACAAACTTTCAACAGGTTCGAAATGGCCAATTTCTCTCATATATACTCATATTTTATTAATTATCACCTACAAAGTATTGCTAATAACTATATGTAATTTCAATAAGGAAACTTATCTGGCTACATGTAAATTCAATATCAACACTAGATGTTCGCTCAACACGTCCTGGCTTACCTTGTGATGACAAACCCTGGGTTTTCGCTATTTATAGTTTATCAACACCTGGACGCATGCGCATTTTATAGTTTATCAGGCACTTTAAATGCTCAATTTTTGATACAGGGTATATCCCTCGGTAAATACAGTATATCAACCCCCGGTCCCCTCGGGTAGATATATTGTATTTCCCTCAGATATACCCTGTATCAAAAACCTCCCATTTAATAACCTCTACTATTTTTTCATGGCCTGAGTTCGTCGCTAACATGCTAAATATAAGAGTTAGCTGACGTCTGGGAGTCTGACTTACCTTCTAAAGGTTAGAACCCGAATCTTAATGAAACCATATCACCTTTGTTGCGTCGATGATGATGCATAAACACCCTCATCTGGGACTAGCTAACGCTATAAGAAACTCACAACAAATTAGTGGAATCAATATGCTAAACAATACTGAAGTAAGGCTGACACAATATGCAGATTTATATTCTTTATCCAATACGAGTGACCAGGTAAATTATTATGCAGAATCATTTTGTGTTGAATTGACTAAGGGTTGATTTGACTTGGGGTTGTATTGACCAGAGACCTTTCTTCAGAGCAAAATCGTGCCAGGCATATATTCATGACGCGTGAAATATATACTATTTTTTTCATGGCCTGAGTTCGTCGCTAACATGCTAAATATAAGAGTTAGCTGACGTCTGGGAGTCTGACTTGCCTTCTAAAGGTTAGAACCCGAATCTTAATGAAACCATATCACCTTTGTTGCGTCGATGATGATGCATAAACACCCTCATCCTGTACTAGCTAACGCTAACGCTATAAGAAACTCACAACAAATTAGTGGAATCAATATGCCAAACAATACTGAAGTAACTCTTCAACTTTATCTGGAATGGAAAAAGAGACAAAATAGCAAGGAAAATACTAATGGCTGAAAAGGAAGATGGGGGACTCAACATGTTACACCTCAGCTCATATGCGAAAAACCTGAACCTAAAATGGATCAAAAGATTAACAGATGAGGAAAATCAAAGCAAATGGAAAATCCTATGGAACTATTATCTAGAAGATATAGGAGAACTTATATGGAAGTATAATTTGAAAGTAGGAAACCATGAGATAACCTCAAAACTTAAACTTACATCTATCAAAAAGATATATAAAATTTGGTGTAAACTGAACCATCAAAACATTTCCGAAATTGACAACCCATATAATCAAGTAATATGGAACAATGAATGCATAACGTTTCAAGGGAAGAAATTACAAAGACCAGAATGGCAAAACAATGGGTTAATATACTTACACCAACTGTATGAAAACAAGATATTCATCCCATTCCAAGACCTGGCTGTAAGATACAACCTCAGAAGAGATAATTTCCTATACTGGTATCATGTCATCAACTCCATACCACATGTTTGGAGAAATAAAATGAGTCAAACAAACGAAAATACATCAGATAGCTTCATAGATCAACTAAAGAAGCTAACCAACAAAGATACATATAAAAGGCTGAAGGGAAAACACATTGAGTGTCTCAAAAAACAGCAGAGCAAGTGGACAGAAAAAATAAACCTACAAGATGATATAGAATGGAAAAACATCTACCTAACAAATGAAAGGGCAACATCAGACACAAAACTGAAATACTTTCAATACAGACTTTTAATGAGAGCAATTTATTTTAATGAGACATTACACAAAATGAAAATTAAGAATACTGAGATATGCCAAATGTGCAATAACGAAACAGACAGTATTGAACATGGACTATATAGATGCAATGTGGTCCAAACGTTTATACAAGATGCAATAAATATATGCAGAACTGAGGATGCGACTGAAGCTCAATTCTTCCTTGGAGATACTTCATGTCCCAGCCGAAACCTACTGCTCCTGCTTCTGAAACACTATATATATATAACAAAGCTAAAAGAGACAAAACCAACAAGACAAGGTTTCACAAACTATTGTACTCTACAAATGAAGACAAACAAAGCAACAGCATACAGTCTAAGTAACAAGCAAGCTTTTATAAGTAAATGGGAGCTTGTGGAAAAAATAATTTTGCATCCCCCTTAACTCCTCACTTAAAATTAATTTTGGACAATTCCCCTTACCTGCCCTAGCCTCTGACATTATATTCTTCAATTCTTCAATGCTTTTTTTACTTGCAAAGTTATATTAGTTTCAATTCAATTAAATCAAAAGAATGATCACATGATCTAAAGACCATAAATGATGTAAAAGCAACGCATTGTAACTAAATATGATATATATATGTAACTTTAAAATGAAATAAAAAAAAATAAAATAAAAAAAAGAATATAAACAAGGGTGACATCTTTATGTCATCTTAATACAGCTATTGATAAACTATACTATTGCAAGCTGTTTATGAGATGATTTTCTAAATCATCAATATTTTCAAAAAAGAATGTTTGTACCAAATTGAAGTTTATTGAGGTGCAAGTTACAGATCTTTGTGAATTGAAACCATTTTAGAGTCATTTAGGAACGTAGAAGGTTTTCTCTACTTGTGAAGGCGGGTGCAAAAAGCATGATTTAAGGAATATAGAATCCTGAATCATTTAGTGCACATAATGCACGAGAGAAGACCGCGAGTACATTATCAGGATGGGTTAGTTCATGCATGGATGCTTTTAAATTCAATGGAGAATAATGATGAACAAGGATTCTTTACACGACAATTCAAATACATACTATCACTCCTTTATATGAAAATGACATTGTCCAGTTCTTTATTAAACCACAATGCACTCGGCGTCACTCTTTACCAATAGTGGCACTGCTCAGTTCATTATGAAACCATATTGTACTGTAACATAATGTTTCTTCTCAGTTGACCATATACCTTGAATTATTGAACTAAGATATTTTAAGCTGATTGCCTGAACCACACTTGACGATATTTGAAAAGATAACTAGAGATCAAAGATTACAAACAATATTAAAGAGGACCCCTAAAGACGAGTGTTGAGAGCCCGCCGTCGAGGGAAAATAGTCGGCGTTTTAGACGTCGCTTCAAAATGGGGCTGTTTAAATTCGATTTTCAAGGAGGATTGGCTCCCAGAGAGCAACATCGATATCCTGTCCCATATGGGGGCATGTCGCGATACAAAATTCGAATTCAAACAGCAGCCAATTTGTTCATTTCAACATTTGAATCGTGAATTTTTGTCTTATTTCCTAACGAAAAATTCCAGAACTCACAAGAAATGATCGAGATAATGGTTCGAATCTTTTGAACTGTTTATTTTGAATTAAAACCTGTTACAATTTCAGAAAATAACGTCATTTCGACGTTTTCATTGTTGGTAAATATTGAGTTTCGATCCTGGTAGCCAATCCTCCTTGCAAATTTTGTAATTTCGACATGCCCATATATAGCAAAAATATCGATGTTGCTCTCTTGGAGCCAATCAATCTTGGATATACCGTTAGTGATCAGTTTTTGCGCAAATAAAGCACTTCTTCCTCTCCAGTGTTGACCTTCAGACGCGTACAAGCAGGATTGGAAGCTAGGGTTCCAACTCGATATTCTTTAATCTCCAATCGATGTGGTAGTTTCCGATCCTGCCTGTATATTTCTACGGCTGCAAGGAGAATTGGAAATATTCTTGATTGAATTTTGTATTCAGAACATAACTGCGTAATACCCATATATGGAACAGAATATGGAAACGCGTATAACTCAATAACTAACGGGCTGATTTCAATTTAGTTTACAGTTCTGAAATGCTCAGGAAATCTGCATCTTGTTTACGTCTGAACCTGGTGCTCTTAGGAGGCTCTAAAGAATAAAACAGTGAAACTATGAAATTCCATTGTTCAGCTTTGAAACTTATCTGACAACAACCCAAATACACATGTGTACGACTTATTTGTAGCACTAACCCTAGCTTGAATCCTAAGGCTAGTTTTCATCCTAACCCCGCGTGGTCTCAACCCAAAACATGGATAGCACCCTTGCCCCAGGTCTAACACTAACCCAAAACAAGCTCT